TATCTAATAACTCCTGAAAGCTTTGAGCAATAATAATGCCAATAGAAAGGTTTTGGTGTGTGGGATGAAGAAAATGCTTTATTATATAAATAATAAATAATATATAATACTTTTAAGCTGCTTGTTCATGAGCATATTGTTAACAAGCAGCAAGCTAACACACTTTTAGCTTGATATAGCCTTCGAACTTTTGGTAAATAAAGCAAAGTTTTCTTAAAAGCTTTGAAAACACTTCTACAAAAGTCTAAAGAATAATGCGGATGACATATTTTATCAAAACGAGACATTTTATCTTGTTTTTCTGTGGAAGAGAAACATTTCCACAGGCTAGCTAGCACATTATACAGGAGCTAGCTAGCACATCACCCATAAACAAAAGGAAAACAGATAACCAATAAGTAGGTAACTAAAATCTCCATTTACTAAAAAAAAAAAAAAAAAAGCTTTCTTTCTTAGTTCTCGATGTATTCCAAAAACATAGATTTAAAGGTATAGAGGATGATCTTTTATTTCCAGGTGGATCATCTCAACAAGTGGTCCTCCTAATTGTCAATCATTCGGATGATATGTTTATGTAAGGCTCTCCTACGTGCTCAGGGGTTTATATGTGGTGAGCTACGGTTTCAAACTGTCATTGAAGCTCACCTTTCTTACTGCGTTTTTTTTTTTTAATCGTAAGAAAGAAGGTGTCTACGAAGTGTATAAGAGGAAAAAAAAAGTCAGTTAACTTAGTTCGCAATAAACTCCACTATATAGTCCCCGCTCTATATACTGATTCAGGGATTTAGGGGTTAGGGGGGACATTCAGGCAAGGTAAGCTTGTATGAGATATGAGAACAGCAATTTTTAAACAGCGTGCATGAGAAGAAATGGCCTTGTGCATGCCCTCGAACACGTTAAATAGGCATTTCTTCTCGGAAGTGGGTACAGGGTTGTGAATGTGCATTTTTTTTAAATGGAGAGGGCGGATCTTTTAAAAAATTCGCCAAAATCCTCGACATCATCAATAAGTGTACTTTAGACCACATATCTGACCAGTTATTCAATTAATTTCAAGGATGTTATCGTCAGACAGTTTAAAGTTTCCAGGTAAATTGCAGAATGGGTTAGTACACCTATGAGACACATATTATGCTTCGCATTAAAAAAAATATTTCATGCTCAGAGAGCACATTTTCCAATGAAAAATGGAAATAAGACAAAATAAAGTATGTGACCTTTTAGAAGAGGTCCACTAGTTTAAAAGCTTTGTTTAAAGTATATAATTGATATAGTATAGGATTAATAGAAACTGTTTATTTGATTCTCTTTTTAGTCCTTCTGTTTTCACATAAAAAATATGAGTTTCCCAACCAACTATTGAAAGTTACGGTCTTTGCACTTGTCAGTACTAAGCAAGTACAGGTACAGACATAGATGGATATTTTTGATGTTGAAATCTAAAATTTTTTTTAACCTACTAAACAATTCTGGTTGACAAGAACTGTAAATGAAGTTATATGGGGATCATTTATGACTATTTAGATCTTAACAGCGCTAGTTTATTTAGATCTTGACAGTGGTAGTCCAAGAGGGGTAGCCTATGTAGAGTATTTCTCGAAATAAAACAAATAGCAAATAAGTGGGTGGTTTCCACTTACATTAAACACCATTATATTTAATGAGTCATTAAGATCAGTATAATTCCCAGTGAAGATGAACAAAAATAGCAAGGCTGGTTTAAAATAGAAATGAATCACAGTCTCCTATGATGCATTAAATCCACTCTGGTCAGGACATTAAAGGTGTTATTTTTACTTAGTTATACTTCCATTACCATCTTTGGGTGATTCAGAGTCCTTTAGCACAACCAGCCCTTTTTATCAGGAGTTTCTCAATCACAAGAATTTGAGCTGCAATATAATTTTGATACTGACTAAGCCATTGATTGACAAAAGGTCTTTATCAGGACAAAGGTTGCACAACACAAAGCACTACAGCACAGCAAGCCTTACGTCAATTCTACAGCATCTTCGAAGCTCAAAGGTCAGGAAAGAAATTCAATATTCTTTTATGGCTTTTGTAACAGTGTGTTGCATGAATTAAACTGTGCTCTAACCACATTTTGTGTCAGTCGGGTTCTGACTCCAGTTTGTAGTGCGAGATAACAATATCCAAGACCAGTCATCTAAAATCCAATAAGGACTGTTCTCCCCTGAATGCCACTGACTCAAATTTAAAAGATCCACTGCAATTTCATTTATTGAATAAATCAACTAAATAGTTTAATTTAACAAGTTATAAATTATTTGTTTGTAGAGCAAAAAGAAAAAACCCAACAGCAGAAATGAACCATAATTTCCCAAAAGCCTTATATGTTTGTTTGACTGTTTGTTAAGTCTCCAAATATCAGTGTTTGGTTATTCACAAGAAATGTGAGTAGAACTGGATGCTCTTCAGCTTGATTGCCTCTGACGGTGAATGCAAACTTAAAAATCTGATTTAATTTTCTTAACACTCCATGCCCTACAATACATTGCTATAGATACAACTCTTTAGCCAGAAACTTGTTAGCAGACTAGCCAAAGTCTATTGTTTTAGTCAAGAACAGAGCAACCGAGACAAGGCCAAGACCTTTAGAGGCTGAGACCAAGACCTTGTCTTGGTACTCTTGGGTCTCAGTTGGTATTGTCTTAACTTCAACACCACCAAAGCCAACTCTATTTTCTGCAATGATTGATGACATGTTAGTGGTTCACTCATACTGCTGCATAAAGAGAGAGTGAGACATTAGCAGATAATAGAAAGGCTGACATTAAATGTCCTTTATTTGTCCTTTTTTGCTTTAAAATATTGCTTCTAATGTAACATGCTAGATCTGTAAATGTTAGGTTAAAGATCTCCATTGTCTCACAGACACAAACACAGGATGATGTTTACGTTAGCAATACTAACTGCGATCTTTATCCTCATCGCTATACGAGATTTCGCCACTCAATTCTCCCAAACGTTCACTTCTCCTAAAAATATAAATGATCAAAGGCTGCTTTTTCACAAAAAGGTTAGATTAAAGATATCTTATCATAGTTATTTTGAGAATTTAAAGTTGGCTTACATCCTTATATAGATAAAAAGCTTTACAAAATTGCAATCGGTTCATCTCTAATACTAACATGAAAGAATTCTCTGATAAGGAGTTCATAAGTATGCTGTGAGCTTTATTTGAAACATTAGCTAGCTAACCCTTTGTACTGGATTCCCATTGATAAACTAAGATTATTTTACAAGCCATTTACAAAAAGAAATGACGCTATGAGGGTAAAAAGATAAAAGGGAATGTAAAGGAAAATATGAATAACACCCACATCCCTTTAGAAACGACGAGTAACATAGCATTGAGGCACTTGTCCGACTGGGTTTAAGGGAGTGGAAGCTGGACAAACACCACGGGTAAAGACAGCTGATAGAAACAACTTTCTCTCTCTCTTTCTCACTCTGGAGCTAATTTGCCTAGACTCCGATAAGCTCCAAAGCAATAAAGCCATTGGCTACATGTCTGCAGCCTTCTTTGGCAGTTTCAACTCATGTTACCTCTTTGTCTGCCATACAGAAGCGTAATTATACCTTTAGACCCAAATGTTGCATCTAAGACCTTTCTTAGAAAATAAAAAAAAAGTAACAAAGAGCAGAAATAGCTGCAGATACATTTACGAGATGGTGTCAAGTAATGACAATGTCCACATTTGTGTGAGAGAGCAGCTAAAACCCAACACAACTTTAAATGCCACATCCAAACAAACACAGATGTACCCTGTGAGACTGTATACAGGAGCAGAATGTACTAATATTCTATTAAAAGCTCCTCTACTGTGACTGCTGGTACCATTCCAATCAATCCAGCTTCTCAAAATGACCCCTCAGTATTAAGAATAGAACAGACATCCATAGGGAGAGCGAGCTGAAGGCAGTGCTGCAGGATATTCCCAACCAACACTTACTTTTTCTCTAAATGGAATCACCCACTGCTATATTAGTTTCACCTGGCTGCCATGAAAAGGAATATAATGTTTCATTGTCATACCTTACAGCCAAAATCCTTTGAAATAGTTATGCAACAGATTTTAACACTCCGCGCTTCAAAGGGTTATCTGTCCATTTACGACCCTGATTCAGACGTTTAGTGAGCTGGATCTGAACGCCAAGTATCATCTGCTGTGGGCCGAGGGTGTGTCTCAATTAAAGGACGGCAGATTTGTTTGTTTAGAGTCCATATTTTAGTGAGTGCAGAGTACATCCTACACAGCGGTGCACGCACACACACCCACAAAGGATGACATTAAATGGCGCAATTATGTGAATCAAGTTGGGCTCGACTTGTCGGACAGAAAGTACAGAGGTACCAACAAAGACCACAAATGGATTTTGGCCCATTACATAAATTAATCAGCTAATGACTGTATCTAAGAGCTTTTAGCCCTTTAAAAATGAGATCATCTTTAAGGATTCAGTTCGTTACAGCAAGTGTTTGCTTATTGCTTGCACAGCAAAATACTGTACAAACAGTTTATCTCAGCAGACAACTCAACAGGTTGGTCAACATGCCTCTCTAGCAGGCGGGTAACTGAAAACTAAAAACAATGCCTGAAACGAAAACAAACCAGCCCAATGAGGAATTCAAGCAGGATTTTTGTCCAATCAAACTACTGCAGGAGGGATCCTTTAAAATGCACATGTAAATTGTATTATGATCACTTGTTTCAGATTGTAACATATCCAGGTGTGCTCTGGTCTGTTAAAACCAACTCTGCAGATTGAAAATAGCAGTGACGTTATCAATACACAGCAAGAATAATAATCTACATGAGGAAATGTATGCTCTGTAGCGCTTTAAGTTTGGAAGTCAGCAGTACAATGAAAGATGGTTCTCTATAAGTTGAAAATATATGTCAAAGTCTTCAGGTGTTAAGGAAAGTAAGCCATATTGACTATGTCATAACTTTACAGCCAAGACCATAACTTACTTTACTGTCACTCTTGTAGACAAGTCTTGAAGATCCCCAGGGTGAAAGAGCTGTGCCTCCTTTAGTCCGAGCTTCCCACAGGCCTTCAGGAAGACGTTAAGGTTGTCCTGGACAGAGAACAAAGCAGCAATGATTGTTGTCCCCCCCTGTTCAGAGGCAGAAAATAATCACTCAAAAAAAAAGGAAAAGAAAAACTCCCTGACAGGGAGCAGCCTACATGTGATTGCTACCAAAGTTCAGGCCACCACAGGGACCAGGAGTGTGCAGGGAGGAGCGTGTGAGTACAGCAAATAAGAAGTGACCCAGAGTAGAGCACACTCACACTTACAGAGACAGATGAAAGAGGGGGCGGGGGCTGCCTGACAGGAGCTGAGTGACAGGGGCAAAGCCACCTGTGGGATGGATTAGGGTGTGGACCAAACCAAAGCAGGAAGAATGACATCAGAGACGGCACAAGTCCCACCCAACCTGCCATGCAAGTGCAAAAGTGACGCACGCAGCAACATTTGGCCTCCCACCGCTGTTCCTTCTTCTTCTCACACCCAGAAACTACCACCTCTCTTCCCTGCCAAGCCTTATTTTTTTTCTACTTAAAACATACCTGAGGAGTATTTTGGAGACATTCAGTTGCTACAAAACATGAAGTCAGGTGACAGAGGCAGACAAATATTTCCCTGTAGCTATTCATGAGAACGTGGGAGTGAAAGGGACGATCTCTCTTCCAACACTGTGCCAATCACATTACATTATAGTTGTTTCTGAGTGCAGCAGTTGTGCACAGATGTGAGCAAGAGTACGTCTTGTACTATAAATGTGCACACGTCTCATGCGTTTCAAACAAATGCTCTACCACAAAAGCACCATTGCTTTTTAGGGTTATGGTTTTTTCCAGCAGAGGTTCCAGCTGGGGAAAGCAAAGCTAAGAAAAAGTGGCTTTTATATGATCACACATGGTAACAGCATCTGCTGGAAAAAATTAAGGGCTATATAGTACTAAACTTTCATGTGACAAAAAGCATATTACTAAGTTGTCAGAGAGCGATCTCCTTCCAGTAATGGTTTATTAATACTAGCCAACAAGCTTTAAACTCTATAGTTTATTGATGCACTATGCTGACCCCAGCTCACACCTGTTCCATGGAGGGAACCATGTCACCTTGGACGCATTCATGATGCTCTTCAAACTTCCTCACCTCTTGATTTCATCACAAAACTAATTGAAATATTTGGGATATCTATAATACTTAAGGTCACAAGCGCAACTCTGAAGACATTTTTCTCAGACCATTACCAAACCTGTTGTTTGTTCTCATTACAGACCTCTCCTTACATTTGACTGACACTACATTTATGGCTGTCACTAAGTACAACCTGTAGGTGAGCCAAAAAGAACACGTCAGCTGAATAACAAGAATATACAACTCCATTAACTTCCTTTAAATGTTTACACATCTTTCAATATCTTTACTATTCAAAGCACTAGACAAATGTCTAAGCAGGCAGAGATAATTACCTAAACGAACCAAATCTATGCAACAGTAAAATTATGAGCGAGGCAAGTTACCAAAATGAAGGTGAAGAACAGTTTTGAACCATCTCAGTTCAAAAGGCAAAAAGATTTTCTCACATAGCACTACTTTGATGGTCATATTTTTGTATTTATACTTACTTTATATTTATACTTACAAATAATTATCTCTAAGGATTTTTTTATTATAATTTTTTGTAATAATGTGATATCTAGAGATGTCCTTATCCTATACTCATATTAGCCACAAAAAAAAGATTACTACATTATATCATCCTGCATCTAAAATCTACGATATAAGCACACCGGTAGAAGCACTCCCCTCCATCCTTCTCCTCTATCATTCAGCTCACTCCAGCATTTCTATCCAGCAGTACTTGCATGCTGCACACTATTGTGATCACAAAAATAGTGTTGACAAACAAAGTAACAGACGCTTAGAGTAGAAGCTACGGTATATGCACAGCACGGTTGTACTGTAGTAAAAATCTGAAAAAGATGAGTGTAAACTTCTCATGAACAAGCTTCCCGTCTTCTAATTTATCATATTTTTTAATTCTATTTAATTGTAGGACATTTTTATTTTTTCCACACTACAAAATAAGAACTGAAAACAGGCTTATTTATTATTCGTGCTGATAGTATATTCAGCAAATATCAGTATTGATCAATACTCAGATCTGCACTATTATATTAAAAATGAATAATTTGATACCCCTAGTTTCAGATGGATATGAATAGGAAAGGACAGTGTTCCCTTTCTCATTGCCCCTCAGAAAACAAATGCAAGACAACATGGTATTCACATAAGAGATATGTTTTTAAACCTTCATACATCTGAAAAATACCCATAAAAACGAGTTACCCATTTCTACATTCTGATTAATCAGGGGAGCAAGTTGTTACATATCAAATTATTACTGTTACAGATGTATTAACAAGCATCCATCCATGCATCCATCCATCCATCTTCTTGTGCTTTTTCAGTCAGGGTCGCGGTGGGGTCTGTGCCTATCTTCAGCAGTCTATGGGTGAAAGGGGTGGGGGTATACCCTAGACAGGTGGTCAGTCTGCCGCAGTGTTGACAAGTATACAACGTTTAACTGGTATGGTGTGCATTGGTAAGATGAGAATATGTTTGAGATTTTATTTTTCTCCAACTGATATATCAGCTGGTCCAGTCAAAGAGATAGGCCCCATTCTTTTTCAATGCCTCTAAGAACCTTGTACTGTAGTATGGTATGGTACCCTATGCTTCTCAGGCTATGAAGATATTTCCTTAAAAATTGTGTCCTTTATAAAACTCAGCCTCCAGACCAAAAACCCAAAGAAAACGTGCAGAATGACACAATATTGGAGACCCAATATGGGAAGTTTGTGTTATTATGCTATGCTAAAACAGGTGGATGTTTATAACCACGCTACATAGCTCCCATCCCTAGAGACAATACAAACAAGTGGAGTGTGAGAAAACCAGCTATGGTGGTTTCGAAAGCAAAATTTTTTTCTACTCTTCCTTGATTACAGGATTTTAACTGCTTCCTTTTGTCCTTATGGACTCGCCAAGAATCTGTGGTGTTTATTGACAATGGATTGCAGTTCTTCCTGTTCCTTGTAATTCAGCCATTGTTTTCCAATGCAGCCTTGTAAGACTGCTGTTTAAAAATCCAAGCATTAACAAAGCCAAAAGAAGCTTCTAGAATAAAACAGCAAATGTTCATTGTCTGGCATAGCAAAAAAATTGAAAATGGGATTTCAACACACAAATATGTTTGATTTTTCTTTGTTCTGTTTTTTTCTTAACACTTGTTCAATTAAGTGATGTTATTCAGCGTTTAGACGGAGACATACCAGACAGTAGGTCAATGAGGAAGGCCAATTTCCTTGTCAATGTGTACTTCAGCTCAACCAAGTTAAGCAATATCCATCATTGTTTGGTGGTGATTGGAGTTAAACTCCCACTAAAACATGTAAAGTTAAACGCCTTTTAACTTAAATGCCACAGAATCTAAGCCAAAAGTCTCTCATTTGCCAAAGTGCTTACCAATCCTTGCTGATTAGCTGATTAGTTGGGCCTCTTGTGTCCCAAATATACATAAGAAGAAGTGTTTTTAATTTGCTTTTAAAGTTTGTGTTACATAAATGTTTGCAGCAGATGTTCATACTGTTTTACCTAGACAGGATTTTGTTTTCAGTGTAGCTCTGATTATTAAGGAATTTAATGCGGCTCTAACACCTGGTAAACTGGCCCTAAATAATAAGTATTATCAGTCTAAATTAATAGAATGGGATTAAGAGAACTAAGATTTTCTTTTAGCCCAGTCCAAGAACATGCAGATCTAATAAGCCTGAAGGAAAGTTATGCTGGCTTGTGCTTGCACATAATCCTGCTAAATATGCCGTCTCCATCCGGCTGTTTCTAATTTCATGCACACCTGAAATTCCTCTCTAAACACTTCACACTAAGGAATAAAAAACAAAAATTATCTCACAAGGTGTTTGATAAAGTGCAGCATCACTATCCCTAAATGTTCATACCAATATCCCTTGTGTTTTTCACTGGGTTAAAGATAGTGTTGACTCTCTGCCTACCCTTACGTGACCTAGGAAACAAACATAGAAAGAAAAGCTATGTTTAAAATATCAGGCTACAATATTTCCACATCCTGAGACAAGAAACCAAGGGAAGATGGAATACTTGACATGGTGCCACTCCTCAAAGAGGCCTTTATCAGGAGAGACAGTTTCAAAAGTCCTATCCAGTTATAACATGCGCCCATACAACATAAACACAGTAACAAAGCATGGACAAATGCCTGCCATTGCACGGATGATTACACAGACATCTACATGAGTAAAAACACCCTGGGGCATATCAAAATTGGTTGTTTGTCTCATCTTTCTGGTGCCTCAACTCAACATGGAGTTGGTTTGCATAGAGAACATCCAGTACCACACCAATTACTGAGTATTTTGGGTGGGCAGAGCCAGGCCCTAACTGGGGCTGAGATGGTCCAAACCCACAGCTTGGAGAGTATTTAGACACAGAAATGTGCTGAGAGGAGAAAAAAAATCATTTGGACACAAGTAAAACCAAAGAATAGACCAGCTTTGGGAGCCAGGGTTGCTAAGTATTCCCATCCCTTCCTGAGGTTTTTGCTATGCCAGAGCTAGAAGCTGGTATTGATTTTAAGCACTCAAAATCCTTAAGATAGCCAAACTAAAATAAAACAGTGTGACGGCAGTAAATGCTCACTTTTAAATGGCATTGATGTGTAGGTGTAATTAATGAATATCACAAACTGGCAACAATAGCTAAAAAACATTCCTTTAGTTGTTGAACTAACCTACTTGCCTTTTTCCGGATCCACTTCTTTTTTTTTCTAAAGCCCCAGTCACACCTTGACGATTTTGCCAGCTTATGCCTGACATATGAAAAATCTGGCAAAACACTGAGATACGTTGCATAAGGTATGGGTCTGTTTTGCAAAAGTTATGAGCTCGCTGAAGCACGCTGGCACACGTCGACATACAGCAAGTATGTCATGCCAGCGTATGCCATACGTGGGGCATAAGTTACAGGTAAGTTATCTGATCGTTGACATACGTTAAGTGTACAATACACATAAGTTGTGGCGTTTAGCTTTTCCAAAACCTATGGGTTTCATGTGCATAACTTATGTGTAACTTATCTCTAATGTACTGTATATCAACATATTTGACGTGTTCCAGACGACCACTGATTGTGTATCTAACTTACAGCTATTGTATAGCTTCAGCGTTTTGGTGTAAAAGGGGTTCAGAGGAGGAAACGCTCAGTACTCCTCCAGACTTCATCTCCATCATAGGGTAAGCAAGAAAGTGGGTGTGATGGATCCTACCTGTGTTCATGCCCACGGCCACCAAACATCCTAGCAGACATGATGCTGAATCTGCTGCGACTGCAAACCTTCTTTCATTCTTTTAATTAATTCATTCATTTATTTCTTTGGCTGGCGTTAAACAGCAGCTAGGTTAATACCACGATCAATTAAATTTTTCTATGCAGGACTGGTGCCTCTAGGCAGACTCCTGCGCTCCTCAGAAAACTGGCTTGTGACATTTCATGGGCATTCATGGGCTTCTGTGCATTATGCATTAGTTAAGCTGTCGTTGGACATAAGTTTTGGACTCATTATGAATACGCTATGTATATGCTCGAAATTGAAAAATAGATAGAAAGTTCAATGCATGCCAGCGTTTTAGAAGATTCTGGGACGTCAGGCATAGGCTGGCTAAATTGTCAAGGTCTGACAGGGGCTTAAACAAGCAGCTCAATAATGCCATGTGCAACTAAAGACCTGTGCTGGATATTAATTCAGATTTTCCAAATTGGTTGGATTCAAACCACAGGACCCTATTCAATTGGCTTCACAATATATTTTGTCTGGTTTTTACTTCAGTTAAGGATATCACTCATTAATATTTTCACCTCAACATGAAAATACCATCTCAGGAGAACTAATGCTACAAATAATAAAACCCAATTCTAACTTAGTGCATAAGTGTGACGGAAAATTGATGGATGGATGAATGAATATTAACATCAAAATTTTCAACATATTACAGTTACAGGTATCATGTACATTTTTGTTAAACATGACCTGACAAGAGCAAAATAAACAAAATAATAATTGTGATATAATTAAAACCATAGGGCAGGCTGTTTAAATAAAATGGCTACAAGAACACTGTAAACTCAACAGATTTACATTCATTGATTCACTTCAAAGTTTTTGCTCATATTTTGAAAAAAAAGAAAAAAAGAAAAAATGAAATGTTAAATTAATCAATAAAGGGCGATTCATAGGACAATTGAATCAAAGCAGGTATTTTTTTTCAGACCCAGCCTTTATGAGAAGTGGCCCATTGCCCATAAATGATAAGTCAGCTTGTTAAAGCCTGCCATGTATGTGGCTAGTCACAAACTGAAAGATCTGACACTTTTCTGATCAATGAACATGCCATACCGTCTTGCTAACACATGCAACACAAAAATTTCACCTCTATTGAGAGTGTAAGTTACTCGTGTAAGAGGCTATTTTCCGTATAAGTCCGTATTCAAAAATTGAAGTAAGAGAAAGCGCAGTAATATTAAAAGCTTTTTATACAGAAACTATGTTTTCTATTAAGGGATTTTGATTGTTTAGTCAGGTAACTAGGAAAAAGCAAATCTTTGAAGACTGCATGTCCTGCCCCTCACTAATCAAATCTTTACAAAACTGTTAATCAGAAATCACTGACCTGTGTTTCTTTTGATAAAACATTGCTAAACTTAAAACACTTCTATCTGCAATTTACACCTTAAGCTATTTATAAAGATTAGACATAGCATTAGGCACTTGTCTACTGAAGGTAAAGTCTCAGACTGAGAGTGAGTAATGTCGGGACAGCATCCAGCCTACCTCCATGTGGTCGGCAGTAACACATAGCCTCAGGCCAGCCAGAAGCTGAGGTGGAGGGGGGGTTATGACCAGGTAGCTTTAGGTTTGTGGCCAAGACTCGGAAATACTGCATTAAGCCCACTAATGGAGCAAATACCCATTACCTCAGCAGGTGTCCAGATACTATGTGAGCACTGCAAATGTTGTCTTTATATATCATAGAATATGATGTAACTGTGTTTACTCATTCCAGTTCGTTTATTATATTCAAGACTTTGATGTTTTTCATAAACTTGCAGAGTGTCCCTAAAAGACACTGCCGTGCACAACAAACACACACTGTGCTAGGGAGAGGGATGTCTGTAATTCCTCCTGACAGCTGGACTCAATTACTCCCACTAGAGAGAGCTTTCCGAGGGATGGGTATTAAAGAGGTTTTCAAGCCTCTACTTCCCAGGAACTTGTTTGCAGGCACTCCCAAAACATGTTTCTGGAGAGAGACACGGTGGCCTAAAAAAAACTTTACTTCAAGATGTCCAACAATGTTGTTTATAATCGGGTTTAAAAAAAAAAAAAGTACTGAATGTTGGAAACTGTTTATCATATACCAGTACTATGTTTACATTTTATCACTGCTGAACTTAAAAGATGGAAATGTCTTGAGAGCTGTACTGAGTGAAATTTCTTCTTGTATACACCCTGTGTATTCAAAATGACAATAAAGTCTGTCTAAGTCTAATGCTGGGTGTAAAGGGTTTTAAGAGCTCCTGGACTTTTACTCAGACTAACTGTTCTATCATTCTGTTATAAATCCTGTTTTTTTTTTTATTAAATCTGAGTTGACTACACTGGAGAGGTGATATAAAATCAACAAATTACATGGTAATTGGAATAAATTAATGTTAGTCTTTCAAGCTATACTGTACAATTAAAGGGATTTACACTGGATCCAGTTTAAACCATCACAAACAAAAACATATTAATAGACTATTTTTGCAAAACTGAGCAACTTGAGATTAAGGGCCTCGCCCAAGGAGAATGTGGCAAATGAGAAAGGTGTAATCAAACCTACAAGTCTGATCAGTCCTGATGATTGAACAACCAGTTGGAAACCTAAAAATAGAATTTTTGTCTGATCAATTAATGCACTGAGAGCTAAGAGGATGCACTGTTTACTCTTTGTTGCATTTCCACACTCTTTGGTCCAGAAGCTGTTGCTGAAAGAAGTGCACGAAGTCAACATGTTGTTCATATGCTTGACTCAGCTGCATTAACATTGTTGCAGTGGTTTTTCCTGCCAGATAAATTTTTTTCCAAATCACTTTGGTAATGTTTTGTCGAATTTGAGTTAAAGTTATTGGCCCAAAGATGACTGAAGTCCATCCCAAGAAGAATGAAGGCATTAGAGCTAAATTTCTCTCTTTTATCCTATTAAGCTTTTAATCTTGCTTTGTCATCAAACATTATGGATGCTTCCTGCTTTTAAATCTCTGTGAACAACTTTCCCTATAGGCATTATATACAGAAAATACAGACAAAAAAAATCTTCTCCTAGAGGCATAAAAGATGCAAGAGTTACCAGGTCGAGCTGACAACGACAACTTTTAGTGTGGAGCTTAATACTGAATAAGGAAAATTCATTAGCCATTTTCAGGATAGGCTAGTTGTTTAAAAATGATGCCAGGGATTGCAATAGAACATTTGAGCAATCCTTAGAAACGTTGCCAGATAATAGAAAGGCTCCGTCCAGAATAAAAAAGTTGCTCTTCTTGGGTTCTGTCTGTTTTGAAAGCTGCAGCATTTCGAAATAAAGGCAATGTTTTGTTAAGGTATGTGCTTATATTTATTGGATAATAAATGAAAAAAAAGCTGTTTTTGTTAGATGTGCTAACCACACTGATTAAATAACAACAGATAAGTTTAAAAGGACACTTCTGGAATTACAATATCTTATTTTAATTTGTAAAATCCTATTTAACAGTTATTTATTTAATAAAAGTGCCTCTGCTGCTCTTCCTATGGCAGGAGAGCAAAAAATAAATCATCAAAATGCTGCTAATAATTTTTTTTTTTAACAGTAACCCAACATTTGCAAGTCAAAGCTCTATTGACTTTAACCTGTTATACATCAACTTAACTGCCAATCCTAAAAATTCTGTTTGTTTTATGTTCTACTTACTGTTCTACTTACTGTACAACCGCAGCTTCACAAACACATAGAAATATTACATAGAAAAATTACATAGTGTAAGCTGAGAAATGCTTTCACTGATAAGGACATCATTTAAAAAAACAAAACAATCCCAGACTAAACAAGAGCAGAAGACAACTTACCAGACCTGCGATGGGGGTTGGGAGCCTGTTGACCCTTTTGATGATGCCAGGTTTGATCTTGTTTATCAGACTGTAAGCAGAGGAAAGAGATGAAAAACATCAGGGGAAATTAGAGGGTAAGTGAAAGCACCCGCTCATTGACAAAGCTACCCTAACTATGAAGGAATGAGCAGGAGTTGTTGCACAGTCCTGGTGGTGTTGCATGTTTACGACTTGGTTTAATGGTGGCCACCTGGCTTCAGTTTAGTAAATCACCAGTGCTGCACTATGGTGTAAACACAAATGGGCCCTCTCCTTCCAAAAACATGCACCCCTCCATAGAAGCAACCACAAAACAAGTCTGAACAGCCTTATTTAAACCAAGAAAACAGGTACAGTATTGTTACAGGTAAAGAGTAGAAGACGTGCAGTTCAATTTAAATAAGTTTGAAAGAAAGTTAAATAATACAAGTTAATACAGAAAGAGAACACAAAAAGAAGAAATTCATGAGCAATTGGCCTATAAGATAAGCTCTTGGAAAACTTATTTTCATGCTATTGCACAAATACATTATCTTACAAAATGGCACTACAAAATCTGAGCATAGATAATTCAGGGAGGTCAGAAGGAGATAAAAAAAGTTTCCCATCACATCTTGGGAAATGTCAGCTGTTAATACAGAAAGAGAGAGCAGGTCTTTAAGCCAATAATAAGAAGGCTGAATGGAATATATATTTTCTTGATTTTAAACTTTAAACCTCTATCTTCCCTGGAACATGAGATTTCAAGGCTGGGTCACAATGTTTTCTTCCAACTTTGCAAGCTGCGATACAAGTTTTTTTCTGTGCTACTGGCTGCATAGGGGAAGGGTAAGCAACACCTGTCCTAAAGTGCCAGTGTCCTGCAGCTTTTGCCTGCATACCTTCTTCAATACACCTGAAAAAATGAATGATTAAAGACCAGGTTACTGCAAACCTATCGACACACCAAGAAGGTAATTTGGCCTTTTGTTTCAAGAGTGTTGGAGCAGGGATGCACGCAAAAGCTGCAGGACAGTGGCACTCAGGGAACGACAATGCCTATTCCTGCCATAGAGGCTCCCACTAATGGGCCTGATGTCTGGAGTTGTGCAAAACTCTGCAGCACATTTGTCCCAGTGTCCCACAAATTGAAACAATATCCTGCATTTGACTGGGTCCAATTTGCAATGACTTCTCTCTCTTAGACAAGCTAAATCACCTCTGCATTTCATATGAGTAATTAGAACCACAAGAGGAATAAGGGAGTCTTACACAAGCAATCCCAATCAGATGCCTAAACCAGCCTAATTGACCTATGTCAAGTAGAAGAAGCTCTACAGAAACTTGCATCTGGATGGTGGAGCTCTTCAAGTCATCTCTAAAAGAAGACATTACAGATGTCATGGACTTGAGATGATGGGGGAATCTGAGTTAGACCTAAAGAACTAATTCTCCTAACAGCTCCTAACAGTTAAAATATCATTGTAATCTAACTAGAATCTTGATCCAATTACAATAGCTGAGCAGCTTTGAGTTAATCATCACTTTTAAGATCAAATAACCAGATGATGTCTTCAGGATAAGACAGCAGCTGAAACTGTGTAACACAAGTTCAAAAAAGATAAACACAGTTTAGGCAGTTATCCAAAGTACTTTCAATCAAGAGGGTTCAACAGTCAGAATATTTGTCTTTCTTCTTTGAACTAATTTTTAATGTTACACAGGCATTGCAGTGGTAAGTAATTTCTTTGCTTAAATTACTAGTTATGCAGGGACATAAATTAGTTTAGAAAGTTGGTAATGGTATGTTGTTAAATACCTGCAACTAAAGAAGCCATTATTTGAAACCAATGAACTTCTATAATGGCAAAAGAAATACACGCAAAAAAAAAGAAAGAAATGGATCTTGATATGAAACGAAGCACTTTGCATGCTGTAGGTGTATGGGATTGGCTGCCAACAGATGTGAACAATGTCTGTAGAGAGGTACTTCGGTTCATGGTGGTCATTTAATAGTGAAACAATGGACCTTCATGAGATAAAACACAAAGACTTAAGTCTGAGTGGAATATAATCGTGTGAGAGCAACAGTGAACATTCCTTTCCAAGCAAGAAACTGTGATATCTGCAACACAATGGGACGAGGAGGTTGGGTTTGAAGGTGAAGGTGATTTAATCTGCCTTCCTCTTCCTCATGCTGACAAAACATGAACAGCTTGATGATTGAAAAAAAATGCTTATGGTCTTAACCGAAGTCAGGCTCCAATCAGCAGAGTGAGGTGGTTCTTCTTCCTCAAAAGGCTGCCGATAAAGGTTTAGAAGACTCTGCACGGTCTGCTGCTAATTACAGCCTCCTGCTGATATGTGCAAATCACATCACTATGTCCGTTAGGCAGTTTGCAGAAATGCGCAGTCATGCATGCAGTTTAATTTGGCTCTACCTTAAAAATCATCTCAAACAAGATAAGTGTTAAAAAAATGTTGCAAAGATGCATCCATTTGGGTAAATTAGAAGCAAGCCTTGTATCTTACTCTGGTCTAAACTGAAGCTCTTTCATCCACTGCACAGCTTGTCATTACAGCAAGGATGGCACCCAGCCCAAGCCGCTGATCTATAACATCTGTCCAACAGACAACTTCTCTCCTCTGGAAAGGCATCCCTCTTTCCATCAATGCATAAGAGAAGGTCTAATCATGATAACATCAAATAACTACAAATAACAGCCTCCATTGTTCCGCCTGGAAAACTCTGGCTCAGTTTATGCAGCTAACAAACAAACAGTGGCCTGCCAGGAGGTCTGCCTGGGAAATATCAGCAACACTTACTTTTGGAGAGCAGACGTGGAGGAGAGCCGAGAGATTCCTTATGAATGAGTGGCACTAATAGAGGTGCCTGGGAAAACAGGAGTACTTACTCACACAGCAGAACTCCGTTCTCCAGGGCTGATCGGAAGTCGCCGTTCCCAAATTTTTTCTTAGTTACAGCCTGGAGAAAAAAAAAAAAAGAAGCAAGAATACAAGAACAGTGAGCAAAAACAGCGTGCAACGGTTGAGTGTATGTGTGTGTGGGGGGGTTAGAGTGTAAGAAGGGTGGGTTGGAGAATAAAGGTAGGATGTTGAGAACAGTAGCAGGGGAAGTCAGAGGTATTTCCTCTCAAGTTCCTACACTGTTGGGCAGCGTTAAGTAAAGTGCTCCAGGTATCCCTTAGGCAGGCTGAAGTGAGTGTATTTGTCTCACTTTAATGCTGGGAGCTGCTAGGGAATGCAAGGGCTGTGTTAAAGCTGCACTGGAGTCAGTCTGCAGAAGCCACGAGGCTGGAACCATAGAGGAGCACACCACTGTGTTACAGCCTCATGCTTTTCCCATGATCTCAAACCGCTGCTGCAGAAACACCAGGAACCATTATGTAAGCAAACACGCACACTGCATGAATTCATGGCAGGCAGCCTCAAACATATGCAGTATCGACACTGATATAAACATTTCGGAACTTTACTGTAATAAGTGCCTCTGTTTCAGATGCAGCAGCCCTTTTTAACTAACATTCTAACAATATTTGTACACACAAAAATATCTTTAATGTTTTATATGGGCTCCATAGTGGCACCGTTTGTATAGGGGTTGCCTTGCAGGAAAAAGGTTGCAGTTTCGAGTCCTGGCCCAGGGTTCTTTCTGCATGTAGTTTGCATGATCTCCCCAAGCATGCATTGGTCCTCTATGGGTACTCTGGCTTGCCTCTCACAGTCCAAAAACATGACTGTTAGGTTAATTGGCATCTCTTAATTGTCCTTAGGTGGGCCAGTCTACCATCTTGGCCATAGATTGCCAGAGATGGGAACTGGCCCCTCCACGACCCTGGCGGAATAAGCAGGAGATTGATGGATAAGCTCATGCTATTAGTCACTTCCTGCAATGCTTTGCTTGGATACATCCCTGTCAAATACAATTTAAAAAATTAACACTGTAGTTCCACTCCATACTGAGTATTTCTTGAGATTTCATCACTAAAAGAATCTATACATTTGCAAATGAGTGCAGAAATATGTGCTAGATCAATAAGGAAATGCGTTATTTAATTCATATAAAATCTGGATCATGAATAAATATTTATTTCAAACATTATTTAGGAAAGTTATTAATGGATGGATGGATGGATGGACAAAAGGAGGGACGGACAGATGAATGAATGTAAGTGTGCCCTCCCGTGGCATCAGTATTAATAATAAATCAAGTCCAGATAAAGTTTACGCGTGGTCTCACTGTTCTCCGAGTTTCATACTGCCGTTAACTGGCTCAACATATGTTTAACAGTGAACTGTAATATTACATAATTCCTGTTTTCCTCATGTAGTTGCAAATATAAACTCACAATATACGTGCCGATATCCCTCACTGATGTGAGTTTAAAAAATAAAGCCAGCAAAGCAGAATGGCGCTGAGTGTCATCGGGAAGAGTAGCAACACTTGCCAAGCTGTGCTTTTTAAATCCACTTTGGCAGACAGATTTAGTTAAGTGAACCTGCTGTTGTTCTAGCTAATTCTATAAATTTCAAATAAAGAACTTTTAGTTTTGATCTTTGGGAATTCATGTTGTAGTTAAAATGAGTAGCAGGTGGCACAAAATTACAAAATGAAATGTAGCAACATCTGGTGACAGAGTTAAAAAAATAAAATAATTTTTTACCAGAAACATATTGAAATCCAACTAAATAGATATTTCGTTTTAGCAAAAAAAAGGACAAGATTCTGATGTATTGAATATCCAGAGCTTATTAACCAAATACAATCAGCCACCCCAGACTGGCTTCTTGTAAATACTTAAATATAAAACTGAGACAGTCCTTTAAAGAGCCAAAGAAGAGCAAACAGAGTCCTTCAGGGACTTACTGCCAGATAAACTTTTATTATAGTCCTCTTTTAATTATCAGTTTCTACACAAAATCCAGATTCACACCAGTACTGATTAAACTGAGCTAATGAGTGCTGTTTAGTCAGTAGTCACTAAACAGAACATAATCAATCTGACAGTTTTAGAAGCAATGGCTCATGGGAGTTCTAAGCTTGCTTTTAAATGTATTTAGCTTTAGCCCCATTTATTTTTAAGTGCAACACTGTTTCCTTTTTGTTAATTCAGTCAGTGCAAAACTATCCTGATGTCAAAATTTTTAACAGGGGAGTTTTTGTTTGCTATTGTTTTAAACAAGAATAGCAAGATATAGGAGAAGGGTTGCAACGACAGCATGTAACCAAGTATTGTTGTTACCTTTTATAAAACATATGCAGTATAAAACCTCTTAGACACAATGCAAAACAAGCTAAACAGGTCTCCTTTACTATAACAGGCAGGTGTGTTTTGGTTCCTGGACTACTGTCGTACTTCAAAGTCAATTTGAGAAAAACTCTAATGTTAGGTACATTATTATGGACAGGTGAAACCAGAACAGTTAGGGGTAATTAAAAGTAACTATTATCATTTTCAAACTATTTGTGCTACACCTCAGAACACGCCCTGGGTAACACGAGATTGCCAAGGCCTTAAATACTTGTCATTCCATGAGAAATAGACCACGGCATGATAGATGAACAGGATTAAAGTTCTCACACACTTCCACTGCTTCTGTCTTTGCACAGTGGGATCAGGCAACATAGTAAGTATAATTGTTCTGTTGCCAAAACAAAACAAGGGCTCAGACTGCTTATTTTTCATTGAGAAAATGGCTATCCCAGATAAACCCCCCAAAAACTCCTAAACACAGCAGACCTGCACACGAAGAAGCAGTTATTACATTAAAAGTGAAAACAGCACTCTGTAATAAACCAGGCTCTCTATTTGGCATAAGAAATCCTGACCCCTGCTGTTGTATGGATGCGTGAGCAAGCTGTTAGGATTAACTTGCATGCAAATAAACAATAGAGGTGGAAACAGCTCAGTAAGGATGATTGCATCTCTCATCCTCTTTCCAAAGGGTTTCCCTTTGATGTTATTCTCCCCTCAAATTTTCTTATCAAAATTGACATCAGCTAATCAGATTGAAAGAGGACAAAAGAACATTAAGGGTGGGAACGTCCCTGGCACAAAGCTTGATGTGCTGTAACAAAATCCTAGTCTGCTCCACTGTCATTAAAGACACCATCAAGATCAACAGCTCTGATCTGGAACGGCTGAGCTGAGAAATTAAACGGAGGAGCGAAAGCAACACTAAAAAAAATTAATACCTAATGGATTTTATTCAACTAACACAAAGTATAGAAGGGTTATGAAGGGGTTGGAAAAGGATCCATTAATCTATCCATCTGTCTGTTGTCCATGTCTTACTATCTTCTCTTTTTGCATCAGATGCATAGCCAAGAGACCCAAATTAACGCTGAAGGAACTACAAAATCAGAAGACCAAAAAAAAAAAAACGCTTATGTTGCAGAACCTCTAAACACTACACCTATTAGCCGTATGTTTTGTCAATTTTTTAAGAATTAATAGACGTTTTCTTTGAAGTTTGCTATAAGAGAAAGTTGTTTTTCTTTTTTTTTTTAGAGAAAAACCCCAACACTGCACCTTACGATGAGCAAAGCATTCTGGAAATGAAACACAGTGTTTACATTGTCATGTGAGCCTTACAGTCATCTAATTCTGCTGACCCTGTAAAACTGTGGAAGAGTTTCACCAACCGCATATATCTAATCTTACTTAGGTAAAGCTATTTTGATATCTATGGCCACAAATTCAGACTACAGATATGCATAGCTGGTAGTGACACAGGCAACAGACTTGCAGCCAGGGATGCATTTAATGGCTGTAAATGCAGTGAAAGGGTGAACAAAACTACCATATATCCTCTTCCATCTACTGTAAAGCCACACTCAAAAATGTAATCAAAATGTTCACAAACTCTAAAAAAGTTCAAAGGGTTATAAATGCTTCCACAGCCTTAATATGAACCCCAGGAGTCCATGTTTCTTTATGCAATCTGGACAGCAATAGTGTAGCTCCAGACCATTCATTGTTCCTGAAATTCTTTGTGCTTCAAGCTTTGAGGTATGGGTCAGCAGAAGGAACATTATTCACATACTTTGAGGTTTTGTATTGAAAACAAACCATTTTCAGCTGTGGAATCCATTAGTTTCACCCCTGGTAAAACTATTTTTACACTAAAGTGAATGGCTTCCTGTGTCAAAACCTGTTTCTTGTTGATACACAGGAAAGCATGGGGCTTTGGCTCTAATTACTTTCTGTCATTACATTCAAAAGGCTCAGAATGGTGCTAAAGCAAGGGTGACTAATGGTCAGTCCAGATTCATAGCTTCTATCATGGTAAACAATACAGCAGCATGAGTTGTAGAGAGCAAGAGTTTCCCCTGCAGAACCTCTCCCTGTGATTAATTTCATTCCAGAAATTCCCTAAAACACAATAAAAATGTCCATAGAGAGAGATCAACTTGGGGATCTTGCTGTTATGACTGATATTACTTTGTAGCAAAAACAGAGCCATTTAAAACACATTTTGCAAATTATCCAGGAAAGCGTCCAAAAAACATTGCTTCAGATGGGCTGTAAATTTCCTTTTTAATAGAATTTTTATGGATGGTAACAGAAAGATAAAATATTACTTTTATTTTGCCATTTCTAGGAAGGACGGCCAATATAAATAATCTGGTGCGTGCAATTCCTGTTTTCTTGGTAACATGGATGGAAAAAAATTACATGTGATTCAAGTTTTAAACAAATCACAATAACAACATTTGATCCGCAATCTTAAACTACTAAACTAATTTATTCTCCATTGTTTGATCAACTTTTGGAATAGAAATCTAGACAGCTGCTTAAAAATTGGCCGTTCTTAAATTACTGAACCTTAATGTCAATACCAGTGTAAATATGACCAGTAGCATAGTTTAATATGTTTAAAAATAAGCAAACAAAATTCAGAATGAACTGGTTTTCAAAAAATATAAACTTGAAAGCTACATATTTCTTAAACATATGAGGG